GCCCGGCCCGGTGCACAAGGCGTGCTCTGACTGCCTTTTTCCATTTGGCGAGCGCTGCTGGATGAGTCCGGCCCCAAAAAGAAAACAAGGAAAATGCATCCCCCTCCCTGGCCCCTCCTTCCCACATCCCAGATTTTTTGCTTTTTTCCAATTTGGAAAATCAGTGCTTCCTGGCTGGGGGAGGCCTGCAACCCTCCCATGGGATGGAAAGGTGTTGGGAGCCTTCCTGGCAAGGAGCAGCACGCCTTGGCAAACAACAGCTTTGCGTGGCCAGGGCGGCACCGAGCCGGTCCCTGAGGGCAGGATGTGGCCCTCGGGGTGCTCATGATGGCAATGATGAGGAGGAAGGAGCCCAGCTGGAGTCCCACCACATGCTGCCAGGGCTGGGTGGCAACTGCCACTGCCGTGCCACAGGGTCGTGCCTGGGTTTGGGTCACCCTCCCAGCCTGGGGAGGGTGCCAAGGGCAGGCACTGCTCCGGGGCCAGGAGGTGCCCGTGGGCTGGAGCTGGGAGAGGACAGAGCCTCAGCAGTGGGATGGGCCCAGCAGAGCTGGTGGCTGGCCCCACTCGTCCCAGGGCAGCGATGCCATTCCCTGGCTGGAGCAGCGTCCCAGAGTGACCCTCCTGGAAGGCAGGATAGGGTGTCGCCAGGCTCCCTGCAAGGATCCTCCCCACGCAGACCCTGTGAACTCCCACTCATCCCCAAGTCCAGCACAGATCCCATCAACCCCAAACCTGCTCCTGTGAAATCCCAAACCTGCTCCTCTGGCACAAATCCTGCCAACAGCCAGCACAGGTCCTATGACACAGCTCTGCGTGTCCCCTGGGCCAGCGACCCCAACCCCACTGGGACCACCCCAGCACAGACCCCGCTGTCCCTGAACGCGGCACAGCCACCACTGACTGCCAGCACCAACCCCCAGCACAGCCCCAGTAACCCCAAAAAGTCCTCCCAAGCACACACCCTGCCATCCTCCGGAGCCACCTGCCCCTCTGGGCCCAGAGCTGTGACCCCACAGGTGTCCCCCCA